TAGACCCTACTCTATAATACTAAATAAAATAAAAAAGTTAAACAAAAATCTAATGTCCCACCAATAAACCACGGGTCCCAACTCTGTCATTTTAAACAAAAAAAGGGTATTGCCATGGTTATGGGTTGGACAGTGAGGCAGATTACAATAAAAGCCTGTCCTAGATCTTAGGTTTAAAAAATGTATAATTTTAACGAGTGGTATATATATATAAGTTTTATGGTCAATAATTATTAACAATTTAAATTTGATTTTTTGATTTTTTGAGGTTAAAGATCATTTGGACCTTCAACAGAAACTATTGTTAGATCAGTGTAACTTTCAACTTAATTGGTCGCTTAAAATAAAATAAAATCAACATAATTAAGCTTGAGCTTGTTTAATTAAACAAATGTATATAAACGAATATTGATTGAACTCGTAAAGCTGGAGTCCATGCACTATATAATTAAGATACTCATTGATAACATAGGTGAAAATATCTAGTGCATATCTGGACAGTCAAGAAACATCTCCTCTTTTCGAGTTTTCCAACTTATTCAAATCTTTTTTTAGTCATACACCAAAATGTTGTGCTTCAAATAATGAAAAATGATCTGTACACACTTGGTTCAATATATTTTTTATATATTTTTATTTCAATCATTAAAAATATAATATAAATATGATCGATTCAATCGGTTTCTGTATTTTGTGTGTATTGTTATATCTTTAAACTTATCTACTTTTAATTTTATATTAAAAAATAATAATTTTTTAATGATTGTATTATACAGTGTATTGAATTGAAATGCGTATAAATTATTGTTCTCAGATAATATATACTATTACAATACTAATAATTAATATAACCATCAACAATCTCAAAGATGAGTTGGTTTTGGCACCTGACCCTAACACCCTGTCATCATGAGGTGTATTTTCCCTTCCCTTGAGTGGGTTCAGGTTCGTCATTTGACAAATTGTTTTTAAAAAAAAAAAAAAGGAAAGATGAGTTGGTTTTGAACATCAAAAAAAAAAAAAAAAACGAGTTGGTATGCAGCATCATAGGTCGCACGTATTTTCTTCTAATGCTGCCAATATATAATCATTCGATCCCTGCAAAAGCTGTTGAAGAAAAGATTAAAAATAGAGAAGAGTGAAATAAAAGTTATCAGATATGATATTACTTTTTTTAAGAATTCAAAATTTTTTAAAATACAATAGAATTTAAAACTCTTTTAAATTAGATATAAAACATTATATTCAAATCTTTTTTTAGTTATTTTTATAAAATAATATTTATTTATTAATAAATCATACATTGCGTTTAAATATAACTCAAAGTCCTCTCTCCTCTCCCGCTTATAAAAGTTCCAGCGCCCCCTCCAATTTTTCATCCATATATCTCCGGAAGAAGTTTATGTTCCTTTCATCTGCAGACATGAGTGACCCTATGTACGCTTATCCTGCTCAACCTTACCCTGCTCAAGGTCACCTTTTTCCTTTTCCTTCATCCTTCCTGCTCTTATTTTTCTGTCACAGATTTTTCATTACCCTAATTAAAAAATGATTTCGAGTTTGATTCTTGTTGTCAATAATTTTCTTTTATAAGGGACGAATTTTTTAAGATGTTAGATTTTCAATTTTGATAGTAATTTATTGATCCATATTGTTGATCTTTAAGAAGTTTCTGGATTTTTTTGGGTCTTTCTCTTTCCACTTCCATTATGTTCTAAAGTTTCTTGCTTTTGATGGACAGGTTATTATCAAGGACCCCCAGTAATGGCACCGCCACAGTACGCAGCTCCACCTCCCAAGAGAGAACCAGGCTTTCTCGAAGGATGGTAATTTGATTTCTCTTCTCTACCATGTTGTCTCTGAGCTGCTCTTTTTTTTCTCTCTCTATTTCATTTGGTTTAACATATCTTTTTGGTTTGTTGCGTTGAAGTTGTTGTAACTGTCTTGCGGTTTTACGTTGCTGTGTTCTCATTTATGAGTGCTGCGGAGACCCACCATTGACCGTGCCTGACTCTTCAACAAATTGATATATGTTGTGTATTTTCAGTGCAATAATCTCATCTGTATTTCAGATGTGTGATGATGTTTCATTTTATGTATCATGAAAAGCTTGAAGATTGTTCTTGTGGGATCGTACGTGTTGATTTTTATGAGTATATTTTGTGTCAGATCTCTTGGATGCTTAATTTCTTAAAATTTCGATTTTTTCCTTTAATTTTGCCAAATGTTTAAGAGGCATGTCATCGAAAAGTGAATCAGAAAATTGCTGAATAGGCTGTAGAGTATCAAAAGAATCACCGTCCAAAATGATGGCTTTACCCTTGTTGCCCTTCTCAGTTGGTCCTTTTCCTTTTCCTTTTCTTCTTATATGGTTAGCAATCAAAGGAATTTTTTTTACTATACACTAAATTAAATAGGTTAAACCTCTTTTTTGGTTCCTCAAGTGTTATATAGACCCTCGATTGTGTTTCTTAACTCAAAAAATTCTTGATTTGGTCCTTATTATTTACCATTTTTACCTCAACTTAATCCTTCCATTAAAAATCTACCTAACTAATAGAAACATAATGATTCGTTAAAATATTATGTTCATGTGGAAAGACAGCATGGCAAAAAATAATGATTTGGTAATAAAAATTTAAAAAATTCTCTTTCTCCTTCCTCTTCCTTTCGTTGCCTTCTTCATCAATCAATTGTTCATCTTCGTCAATCAATTCTTCATCATCATCATCAAACAACAAAACCCACAAAAACACAGAATTTTTTTTTTTTTGTCAAAGAACCTAGTGCCGAGTTCTAAGGAACCTAGTGCCGAGTTTGTCGAACTCAGCATCGGGTTCCAAGGAACCTAGCGAACTTAGGATCCCAAGGGGAAAAAGAAAGGGAAAGAGAAGGAAAAAGGAAAAAAAAAAAGATTTTTTAAAAGTTTTTTTGTTATATTAATAATTTTATCATATTGTTATTTTTTTCCATATCACTATTTTTTTGCCATGTTGTCTTCCATGTGGGTTAATGTTTTGACATGTCATCATGTTACTATAAATTAATAGTACAAGTCATTAGATTTTTAACGAAAGGACTAAGTTGGGATAAAAATAGTAAATAGTAGAGACCAAATCAAGGATTTTTTGAGTTGAGGGACTCAATCAAGGGTTCATATAATAGTTGAGGGACCCAAAAGGGAGTTTAACCAATTAAATATGTGTTTGGCACTTTGGCTTGAAAGCAACATGTCCTCGAATTTGGGTAAAAACTTATTTTTAGCCCCTCACCTTATCAAATTTGAAGGTTTTAGCCCCTCACCTTATACTATAACATTTTTAGCCCTTCACTTTATTAGATTTATAGGTTTTAGCCCCTCATGTATTAAAATCGAAGAAAATAGCCCTCACTTTATGCTGACTGTTAACTTTGTTAGTTGAAAGTAGGTTTTTATCAACTAACAGTCAACTAATAATCAGTTAACAGAATTAACAAAATATTATAAAGTTAGTTTTGTTAACTTTGTTAGCTGAAAGAAGATTTTTGTAAACTAACAGTCAGTTAGTAAAGTCAACTAACAGAACTAACAAAATGTTATAAAGTGAGAGCTATTTTCTTCAATTTTAATAGGTGAGGGGTTAAAAGTGTCATGGTATAAGGTGAGGGGTTAAAACCTACAAATCTAATAAGGAAAGAGGCTAAAAATGTCATAGTATAAAGTAAGGGGCTAAAATATTCAAATTGGTAAGGTGAGGGGCTAAAGGTAGGCTTTTGCCTCGAATTTGTTAATGATGTTAGCATTTTAATTTTTTTCAAAAAAAAAATTTAATTTTTTAATAAAATAATTTCTTATCTATATTAAAATTTGAAAAAAAAAAGAAATTATAGAACCCAAAGGTTAGTGATGTTAAGGCCTACAAGGCCGAAAGGTAATTCGATCCATTTCATCAACGATTTGTCGTTCGTGATTAACATTGTGTATCATCATTCTCCAATCTCCACTGTTGATTTTTTGCTAAACAAATCCTTGACTTTCTAATGTTTTGTTTGATCGCGGGTTTCTCCCTGCCATGGCTCGTCGCCCACGAAGTCCCAAACCAGATTTATCTTATTATATTCGTTCTTTACCCTCCTAAACCTCGTCAAGAAAATCCTCACAAAATTAAAAACACGAAGGCCAAATCCGTCATTCAAAAAGAAATTCCATTATGTAAAGATAGGTCCGAGGTTAAGGACCTCAGACGTACTGCTACATTTCTTTATTGACCGGGTAAAGGTCAGATTCAGCTTTTCCCTGTCAAACAGCTACACAATAGTTACAATGGGCATGTTGGCACTTGATTCCCCATTCTTGAGATCATCGCTTGGAGAGACACGTCAGACTCCGATTATCTCGTTAAACAAGCCACGTGGACACCTTATTAAGGCCTATCAATTCCCCCCAAGGGCCACCTCAAGAAGGTAATTGAAACTGACCTAAAGCCTTTTTTTCCATAATTCTAAAAGGTAGACCAAACTATTGCTGACTTAAGCATCGGAGTGTCTACCCTGAGGATCCACCTCAGGACTTTGCAGGTCATCCCAAAGAGAAGACTTGGACTAGAAGAAGTTCCCTGGTTTGTTACAATTACATTTGGCGTTGTCTGTGGGAATCGAACTAAAAGCTTCATTGTTCTTTTCTTACCATGGTTAATACTCAGTTTGTTCAAACTGGAAGTCAAGCCTAGCCTCCTGGATGAGGTCAAGCTTAGCACTCAAATGACCTTCCACCTCATACCCCAAATCTATTTGCTTCTATGGAATATGTAGAAGGAGTCGATGAGAACCAACCTCACAACTTAGCTCCCACTCTCGACTAGGGTGATGCAGTCTCAGCTTAGCTCGCAACAATGCAACAACAGTTCTGTGTCTTTCAGTTAGTTTTGGCTCAGTTCTTAGCCAGAAATAATCCTGGAGAGCCCCTTATTAATCTACTGAATCCAACTCAGCAACCCCCAGTTTAGCCGCAAGACCCAAACCCAATCCACTCCAATGATAACCGACCTATTCCCACTCTTAGTGAATCACACGGTCAGTCTCATGTGGTTTCACCCCAACAACCTTTGCCTAATGAAGTCACTCGATGTTTGGACAATTTAGAAAAGATGGTGGTTGAGCAACGAGGTACTCCACCTTTTCAGAATATTACTACCTCAATACCTCATCCTCTTCATATCAACATAACCTCGGAACCTTATCCTACTAGCCTCAAGATACCTCAGCTTGAAACATACGATGGAACCAAAGACCCAGATGATCATTTGCATGCTTTCTATTCCTGTATGCAAGCTTAGAAAGCCTCTGATGCATTGATGTGCAAAATCTTTCCCTCAACTCTCCGAGGTAATGCTCAAACTTGGTACTATAGTATACGCTCAAGATCTATAGCTTCTATACAAAGATGGCGTCTGTCTTTGCTACTAAGTTCTCTAGTAGGAGGTTAATTAAGAAAACTACACCTGAACTTATGCAAATCATACATAGGGAGTGAGAATCTTTGAAAAATTACATGAGCAGATTCAATGATGCTGCTGTTGAGATTAGCTCATTTGACCAAGTTGTAGGAATCGCAGCCGTAATTCAAGGTCTCAAGCATGAAAGATTCAGGGATAATCTCATTAAGCACCTCTTACTTCCTTTGATGAAGTTAACAATAGGTCCTTGAAATTCATAACATCTGAAGAATATGCTTTATCACAAAAGCCAGTGCCAGCTAAGAACCACAACCCATCTTAGAAAGAAGAAGGCCAGATTAGGAAGCGAGTGAAAACAGTTCCTAACTGAGGTCCAATGCTGACCTCTACTCCCAGATTTGGAAAACCAGATTTAATGGCACCTCAACAAGCTTCTGGGAAAGCACCAACTGTGTGGATCCCTTTTAATTTGTCGAGGTTGTAGATATTCATGCAGATTAAGAATAAGATGGACGTGAGGCAACCAACACCAATGAGAAGTTCTCCTGTTACTCGAGACCACACCAGATATTGTGATTTTCATCAAGATCATGGTCATACCACGGAGGAGTGTAATCAGTTGAAGTTTAAGTTAGAAGGCTTAGCTCCGAAGGGGATGTTAAATGAGTATATCTAGAGAGCAGATCGGCCTAACTTTGTTAAGGAACAAGGTTTACAGTCACAGGGGCCTAGTAATGTAAGTAATAGACAAGGAGTAGGATATCAACAAGCTTCACCAACCTTCCCACCATCGACCAAAATCCTTCACATGATCATAGGTGGCCTAAAAGCAGGATGTTTGAGCTCCAAACAATGGAAACTATATGTCAGGGAGGTGAAATACCAAAACAGGGCTAAAAAATGAAAGTTTGATGATGCCGAATGGAAGAATCAACCCATCACTTTTACACCTGTTGACTTCGATGGGGTGATATCGCCTCATAATGACCCATTGGTCACTTCTGTTATGATTAACAACTGTGAGGTATAATGTGTCCTTGTTGACACAGGCAGTGCACCAGACATCATGTATTGTCATTATTTTGAGACTCTAGAGCTGGATCCAACTCTGCTATAGAGGTACGACAATCCTATATATGGCTTCAACAACCAACTTGTTTAGGTTGAAGGGGTCTTTACCTTCAATGTTGTGTTTGCGAGTGGTAGAATTTATGTTACTCCCTCAGCTCAGTTTTTGGTTGTCAAAATGGCTTCATCTTTCAATGTTGTTATTGGCTGACCTATATTAACGAAAATCCGAGCTGTGATATCTCAATCTCATCTTTGCATAAAGTTCCCTACCCCCATGGGGATAGTAACACTGAAAGGTAATCAGAAAATAGCCAGGCATTGTTATATTACCTCGGTTACAAGGCCTCTAAAACAAAAAGATCACGCATTAGAGAACGCCCCATAAAAGTTCATGACAACCAGCAAGTAATTGGGTTTGAGATCCTTGATAACCGACTTGAAGATGAAATCCGAGCTGCTCTAGTGAAGAAAGTCAAAGAAGTGCAGATTGATGATAGAGATCCAAGTTGGAAGACCTAAATTGGAACTCATTTGAACGTAGAAGAAAGAGCAGAGTTAATAACTTTCCTCTGAGCTAACAAGGATGTTTTTGCTCAGAGCTCAGCAAACATGCCAGAATACTAACCTTGGTATCTCAGCATAAACTTAGTACCAATCCATTGAAGAAACTAGTAGCACAGAAACGGTGCCTCTTCGGGGGAGAGAGGCTCAAAGTAATTAAGGAAGAGGTAGAGAAACTTCTGCAAACCGGCTTCATCAGAAGAGTTGATTACTGTGAATGGGCAGCCAACTTAGTGTTGGTTAAGAAAGCTAATGGCAAATGGCGAATGTGTATCGATTATACGAATCTCAACCAGGCTTGTCCTAAAGACTGTTACCCGATGCCAAATATTGACAAACTAGTTGAGGCAGCTTCTGGAAATGAGAGACTGAGTCTCTTGGATGCATATTCTGGTTATCACCAAGTCCCGATGGCTCTCGAGGATGAAGAGAAGACCTCATTTTATGCAGGAGATGAAATATATTGCTACGTCATGATGCCCTTTGGCTTAAAGAATGTGGGTGCCACTTATCAGAAAATGGTAACCATCATGTTCCAAACTCATATTGGTAGAAACCTAGAAGTTTATGTTGATAACCTCGTAGTGAAGAGTTGGAAAGCCAAGGACCATTTAGCTAACCTAGATGAGACATTCAGTAATCTGAGGAATAACTGAATGCTGTTAAACCCAACAAAGTGTATCTTTGGCGTGGAGTCCGACAAATTTCTAGGCTTCATGGTATCTAGCAGGGGGATTGAGGTTAACCCAGAAAAGATTAAAGCCATAAAAGAGATGGAACCGTCGAAGTCAGTGAAGGACATACAGAGACAAATAGGAAGAGTGGTAGCTCTACACAGATTTGTATCAAAATCAGTTGACAAATGTCTTCCCTTTTTCAAGATCATGAGCTCAGCAGCTCAAAAAGATGAATTTGGCAAATAGAAAAAGTTCGAATGGAGCCGAGAATGCCAAGCTGCATTTGATGAGCTCAAATCTTATTTTAGCTCACCTCTATTATTGACAAAAGCTGTTGATGGGGAGATCCTTTATTTGTACCTTGGTATATCTGATGAAGTAATTAGTTCTGTATTAGTGAGGGAAAAGGGTAAGTAGCAGAAGCCAATTTATTATACTAGTAGGGTACTACATGGAGTAGAAAAGAGATATTTTATTGCTGAGAAGGCAGCATTAATAGTCATTACCTCGGCCACAAAACTGAGGCCATGTTTCCAGTCACACCTAATTGTCGTTCTTACAGACCAACCTCTTCGGCAGATCTTACAGAAAGCACAGTGCTCAAGAAGATTGATCAAATGGGCAGTTGAATTGGGGGAATTTGAAATAATGTTTCAGCAAAGGTCAGTAATTCGAGCTCAAGCACTAGCAGATTTTGTTGTTGAATGCATCTCAGACCACTCAAGTTTCACTTCTAAGCCAAATACTTGGATTCTATATGTGGATGGAGCATCAAATAGTAGGGGGTTAGGAGCTGGAGCAGTCCTGGTAGGGCTAGATGGTTACTAAAGTGAGCATGCCTTGAAGTTCAACTTTGATGCAACTAATAACATGGCCAAATACGAACCTTTGCTACTTGGTTTGCAGTTGGCATTAGAGCTAAAAGTCACATCACTTCAGATTCATAGTGACTCACAGCTCATGGTCAATTAGGTCAACTCAGTTTGTGAAGTGGTTGACCACATCTTGATGAAATATGTATCCCTAGTGGCTGATCTAAAGTGCAGGTTTGAGAAATTCTGCCTTAGTAAAATACCCTGAGCTGAAAATGAGCAAGCAGATTTGCTCTCCAAGTTCGCCTCCGATAGCTCTCAAGGTACAAGATCTATTTTTGTTGAGATTCTGGATGAGCCCAATTTTTAGAAGCTTAAGACGATGGAGATCAATATAGCGAATACACTGAGCTAGATATACTCAATTATACCTTTCTTGCGAGATGAGTTAGTTCCTGTAGATAAGCAAGAGGAAGTGAGTTTGAGGAAGAAAGCATCTCGGTATACACTTATTGATGGAGTTCTGTATAAGAGGTCTGTTTCACTCCCTTTCCTCCGATGCTTGAACCCTTATGAAGCTTGTTGACGACCACACTTAAGATTAAAAAAATTTAGTTAAGTGTGAAATATATAAGAAAATGAGTCACCACTCGTCCAAATTATAAGGTGGGACAAGTCACCTAAAAACAAGTCTGCGTAGAGATCGGGGTTTGAGGGTTCGGCTAAGAGTGAGGAAGGGCATATGCGCATCTCACAATCCTCCGTTTAAATACGGTTGCATACTTTGAAATTGTGGTTTTAATTCAACTTATTCATTATGTTTGTATTTAGGTCTTAATAAACAAGCTTGAAAAAGAGATAAACCAAATTGCAACATTTTTAACCCTTTGGACTAAAATGGACAAAATCAAAGACATGCATGCACAATGAACACAAGTAAAAATTAAAGGGGTCTAGTTTGATTACATTCAAAACATAGAGGATTGATTTGACTAAATTCACAAACATAAAGGATTGATTTGAAAAGATTTAAAACCTTTAGACTAAATTGCTTAATCAGAAAATCTTTGTGTAGAATTGAAATAATAAAAAAAAAATAACTTTTACTTTTGACCAAGATAAAAGACACTTAGGAATTTAGATTAAAGGAAATTAAAATTTTAAATTAATTAATCATGATAATTAACTTAATTAAATGATTAATTTGACATTAATTAACATTAATTAAAATTAATTAATAACATTAATTAATCATGATAATTAACTTAATTAAATG